ATCAAATGTTGGGCATGATCAAATGTCAAGGGTAGGGATGGACTACAGACACACAGCACAAGGCGTCCGCACCTTATTTTTCTCTGTAAGCTGCTGCTCCAAGTCTTGTTTCTCCTTCTGTAGCTGTCCTGGGTCCATGGCCCCCACCTCACCATTTGGTGTTCCTTCTGCAAGGGGAAGCTGGTACACAGGGTCTTGTGCAGCCTTCACAGTGACCTGCAGGGTGGGGACAGCAGGCTGAAGCTAAGCCACAGGTGTGGGGAGAGGAGCTTGCTCGTGCACAGCTGTGGCCTGGTGTGCAGCTGGCCAGGAAGCACAGGCCAATAGCAGAGGCTCTCATAATGCCTTTCCATGCCACTGCTAGCCAGCTGCGCACCTCCCCCCCCCAAAAATGAAGGGTTCCACTGTGGCACTGGCTGCACCTACGTGTCGCTCTGGGTCCTGTAGCCTCAGCAGGTCCTCCTGTACCTCCTCTGGGGCAGTCTCCTGGGCCCTGAGGTGCCTCAGGGCCTCCAGCTCACCCTGAAGCTGGTGCATCTGCAGCAGGGTGGCATCCTGACCTGGGAGGGGGCAGGAAGTACAAGGTGTGAGCCTTGAGACTGGGTTGCTCTGTGCTGGCTGGGCAGGGTCAACATTCACCTTTCTTCAACTGGAGGATCTCCTGTTCCTTCTGGAGAAGCGCCTCGGCCTTTTCCTGCAGAATCTGCTCCTTCTCATCAATTGTAGCCATTAGCTCAGCAGCCTAGGGGAGAAACCAGCATAAGATGGGGCTGACACCATGACCCCATCCCACAGAGACTGCTACTCACCCCTGGCCACGGGGCCCAGAAACCCTGCCCAGGGCTACAACAAACCCAGGCTTGTCCTGTGGACATGCAACAATCTATTCCCCTTGCCCTGCCAGGAGGTGACTCTTTCCTTGTGCCTAGGACCAGAAACATGGTTGCTCTGCCATTTTCTAGTGCTCTTGTGGCCACACTTTGCATGTGCATTGCTTTGTTACAGTGGATAGGTCTTTCCAGAGGAGACTCTGAGACCCAAGAGAGGCCACAGCTACACAAGGGCCAAAGCCAGTGAACCAGCAGGGTGGGGCCTGACTGTCTCCCAAGGCAGGCTTTCATACACTTCTGCGCAGAGGTCAACCCCCTTGGAGGTAGTTTTGGGGCCCTGGGCAGTGAGGACCCACCCTGTAGAATCAGAGCTGCAGGTTCCAGCTGAGGACTTTTGACAGGTGGTACTTACAAGACCAGTAACTGACCCTCAAAACCTAAAAAGTGATCTTCCTGTTTTCAGCCTCCCAAGCGAAGGTTTTTTGTCTTTTAACACACACTCCCAGTTCCCTGGGGACTGGAGGGCATCATGCAGACTGCTGCATTCCCAGAGGGCTGTCTGTAGCAGAGGGGGGCTCTCTGGTAGCCACACAGTGGGGAGCACGGGGCACATTACCACTCTGGCCCACACCTCAGTATCACACACCCACCTGGTGCTGGAACTCTTCCCTCTGCTTGCGCACCTCCTCCAGGGCCTGCGCCATGGCCACACTCACAATTTCTCTCTGGCTCCATTCTTCCTACAATTCAGACAACAGGTAGGAAATGGACTTTCTTTCTTTCAAATCTTTTTGAGAGTCTCCCAGTGCAGTTCAGGCTAGCCTTGAGCTTACTTTGTAGCCCAGGCTGGTCTCAAACTTCTGCCTCAGCCTCCTGAGTGCTGGCATTGCAGGCATATGTCACTGTACCTAGCTAAAATGACCCCATTTTATTTATTTATTTTTGGAACCGGGGATTGAACTCAGATCCTTGTGCTTCCAGGGAAGTGCTCATTCTACTGAGCCATCTCCCCAGTCCCATTAGGACCCCATTTTACAGGAGAGGAAAATGAGGCTCTGGGAGGTTAAGTGATTTGCCCAAGGTCCCAGAGAAAGTAAGAGGTTGGGCCAGACTGAAAACCAGCACCTGAGGTATGAGCTAGGGCCTTCAGGTGTCAGTCTTCCCATGGGAGCACGTCCCACAGAGCCAGCCCTGCCCAGAGCACAGGGGCCAGCCCTGAGGCAAGCGCATCTCCAAGAGTAACAATCAAGCCGCCAGGTATAAAATGTGAGTTCTGGGGAGTCTGAACTCTGTAAGGGGGATGTCGTGGAGGGAGCAAGGGGTAACATCTGCTGACTTGGTCTGCGCAGAAGGCCCGGCTTTTGAGGTAAGTGCCTCTGCACTGCTGTCCTCTAGTCCCACTCTGTAATTCCACATGGCTCTGGCAGGCAGGGCCACCAATAATGCCAAAAGCAGCACTAACTTTATGGCATGTGAGTTAGGCCTGCCAATCACAATCTTATCACTTTGACCAAATAAATTCATGCCAAGATAAATCTGTCACTCAAGATGAATGAACATTTTTTTTTGTACGGGAAACTGAACTTGGTATCGGACTTGCTAGCCAGGTGCTGCATCATTGAGCTACATCCCTGGCCCAGAATCTCATCTTCTATAGGACCCTTCTCTATTGGGAAGCTGAGGCTGAAAGGGAGAAGCCTGGCTGCCCTGGGGTTGCTCAGCCAGATGTGCTAAGCTTGGAGCTGCTGTCAGTCTGCAGGAGATGCAAGGCAGAAACAGGGACAGGTCAACAGACAGGTCAGAGCAGGAGCCAGCTCCAGCCTGACCGGTCTTTCCAGCTCTGTGAGCTGTCCAACTCCTGCCAGGAAGTCTCCCCAGCTGTGCTGTGGCATTAGGGACCCTACACAGGTGAGGTTGCCCTCCTGTGAGTCCACTCCTGGTAGACAGAAAACCTGGTGTGGGACTCAAGAGGCTGGGGTGGGAGTGTGGGGGGCTCTATGCACGTGGAGGAAGGAGGAGAAGAGGTTTCAGCTGGGTGGAGAGCATGAGGCAGTCCAGGAGGTGAGGCGACAGGACTCTGGGCCTCCCCAGGAGCTTTCTCGGAGGCAGCTGAGAAGAGATACTGGGGCAGGAAACAGGCCAGGAGGGGAGCAGAGACCCATGGGCTCCATGCTGGGGAATGGGACTGATCACCGTCCATGGCTGGCCATACTGGACCCTCAAGAGGTTATTACTATCTTCCACCTAGAAAAGGGAAATGGGCAGCCATAGTGGCGCACACCTGTTACCCTAGCACTTGGGAGGCTAGTTTGAGGTCAGCCAGGCAGTTCAAGGTCATCCTGAACTACAAAGGAACAACCCCCACAAGTTAAAAAAGAAAAGGAAAAACAGATTCCCTCAAGAATCATGAAGGAGGACCAGGCATGGTGGCTACACCTATAATCCCAGCACTCAGGAGGCTTGTTGCAAGTTCAAGACCAGCCTGGGCTACAAAATGAGCCCAAGGCCAGCCTTAACTGCACAGTGAGAACCTCAAAAAGACAAAAACTAAAAAAAAAAAAAAAAAATCATGAGGAAGTAGGCTGGCATACTGGGTATCGGGGGCTCCAAAGTCCACGTTAGAGCCATAGAAGACCCAGTTTGGGGTGTTCAAAGCTGAAAGTTTCAGCCCACATCTGCTACAGTAGAAAGCACAGCCTGCACCCAGCAGGAGCCTGTAGCCAATTTACCAGGAGCTGGTGGGTTGGAATGAAACATTTGCCAAGATGGACTATAGGTTGGGTTATAAAACCAGTTAGAATATTGAAGGACTGAAATCATCCAGAGAAGTATCTGATCAAAATAGTTTCAAACTTCAAATATCCAGAAAACTCCTCAAACATCTGGAAATTAGCCACATTTTAACGGCCCATGTTTTGAGTTACTGCCTCTTCTCAAACATTGGGTTTCGAACCCTGCAAACTGTATTTCTGCTCAGCCAGCTGGATGTGCTGACCTCTGCCAATAGGGGACGCTCCAGGGAGATTGGAAGTCAGCAGAGGGAGGAATCCTTGGGTGCTGCCTGCTTCTGGATTGGGGAAGCTGTAGCCCAGCAAGCCCTCTTCTTCCTGGTGGCTGGGATTTCTTCCTGCAGCAGCAGCAGCAGCAGCAGCAGCAGCAGCAGCAGCAGCAGCAGCAGCAGCAGCAAGGGCACACACCTTGTAGTTTTTCTCACATGCAGCTGATCCCATTCCTTAAAGCAGGCCTGCTCTGTGGCCTGAGCGTCAGAGGGTGGGCTCCTTAATAACTCCAACACCTTATGCTGTCCCTTTTGTCCACGGAGGGAGCTGTTTCCTAGAGTTTACCTCACATTAGAATATACTCTCACTCAACGAGGTGAGCTCGCCCAGTGCCCTGCCGGGCTGTGAATGATGCCAAGGGCCACAGTTTCTGTTCCATCCAGCATCTTAATCTCCTGCAGCTGCAGCAACAACCTGCCATGACCTTGAGGGAGCCTGGTACTGGAGGCCGCGAGCCCAGTGGCGCGTCCCAGGGCTGAATCAAGGCATCAGAGGGCGGGAACCCCTCAGCAGGCTCAGGAGGTAGTTTCCCTACTGCCTGGGCTTCTGGACCTGCGCCCCCTAGCTCAGAGCTCACTCCTTTATCTCTGTGTGCAGTTAGATGTGTCCCGCCCTCTCTGCGAAGCCTCCCTCACCTGACTCTCACGACACACATGGCCGGTGGGTCAGGGCCCACCTGGAGGAACCAGGATAAAGTCTCCACCCCAAGATCTGCATGTGTATCACATCTGTAGGGCTAGTGCTGCCACAGAGGTAAATTTCACAGGATCTAGGTGAGACTAGGATATGGACACCCGGATTTGCCACTTCCTCCTTCCTTGGAAGGGCTTTTAGAATAGATATGTGGCTCCATTTTCATATTTTTTTTTCAACTCAGACTAAATTTTCCTTCTAAGCCTTGCTTTACACTGTATCTTTTTTTACACTGTATCATTTTTGATATAGAATAGTTATTTATATGAGCCTTTAGGGGCTGGTGAGATAGCTCAGCGGTCTAAAGTGCCTGCTTAGGCAGGTGCAGGGGAATACTGTTCAAATCCTGGCACCACATGCCAAGCCAGCGCCCCCAAAAGCCCCACTATATGAGCCTTTATTTCTGAATGTTTTCTGATTTCCATTGTGATTTTTTTTCCTTTGAACTTTAAGTAATCTGGGAATGTATTTAATTGCAACATACATGAAAGGTTTTTGTTTTGTGTTACTCATGATTGAACCAGGGAACTTTGCACTGAGTTATATTCCCCGCCTTTATTTCTTTTCTTTAGTTTTTTGAGATAGGGTCTTGCTATGTAGTTCAAGTTGGTTTTGAACCGAAGCTTATAGTTCAGGCCAGCCTTGAACTCACGGTAATCCTGTCTCAGCTTCCCAAGGGCTGGGATTACAGGCTACCATGCCTGACTTTTGGTTGTTTTTTTCTTAAATTGAGGCAGGGTTTCACTATCCAGTGCAGGTGGCCTTAAGCTCACTTTGTAGCCCAGGCTAGCCTCAAACTTGCAGCAATCCTCCTGCCTCAGTCTTCCAGGTGCTGGGCTTACAGGTGGGCACCACCATGCTTTTTTTTTTTTTAATTAATTAATTTATTTGTGTGTGTGTG